TCCGATCGAAATCCATGATCTTTTGGCGTAGCCTGATCCCCAGCAATGGTCTCGGCATTGCGAGTAGTAAGAGAAAAAAATGAGTATTTCTGAATGAATTCAAGCGTGACGTCATCCATATTTTGAAGTCGATTAAGGTGGACTGTGGTCCTTACAACGGTGCTGGTATCCAGTGATACCGCTTGGAAGTCCCACCAATAACACACTGAAATCTTTATCCCATGCACATCTTCTCTTTGGCTAAGCAATCTACTTTTCTGTTCGAGAGATCCTGCAAGGGACATGTGCATGATGTACGCAAGGACTCCACCACTCGCTACCAACACAACATCTCACAAACAGTTCCACGCTTCGTACAAGGCGAAAAGAAAAACTCCAGTCACGCGTACATTCGTCATGACTTGATCAAGACGGCGTTCAACTCACTCCTTCATAAAAAAAAAATTTCCGATAACGGATGACTGCGGAGATGCATGGCAGTTGCTTCAATCAAGAGGAGCCTAGAGGTCGCCAACTTTACCGTGCGCTGCGCCTCAGAAGCTTGAGCTGAATCATTCTGTGCTGATGGGCGACCTATACATTGCCCAACTACGAGTTAAATAAGTCCAGCTTAGAAGCGCTGATGCAAAAGCTACCCTCTGCCATGGCAAGCGATATCCTTCCTCAAGACAACGTAGGTGTCAGCTTCCTCGACTACGGCGGAGTGGCCCTAGAGGAACTCATAATATCCGTACTCGTCGTAGAAGCTGGCCTCGCATCTCTGGGGGACTTTTTAAGCTTTGAAAACTTCCTCAAAGTCATGATATACCCATGTGCAGAAACCCCAGAGGACACTCTCCACTAATCAGGGATAAAAACATCCAAAATGATTTTTGGTCTTTTTCTAGAACAATTTAATCAAAGTGTCGCAGGACTTTTCGACCAACTTTATACTAAGAACTGACCAGTTGTACGCGTTGTAAGTTCCTATGACTTCCTTTTGTCCTGAAGGCGAATAAAGAAAGGAGGAAAGCGCGGAGAACTTCTGCCTTACTATTTTTAGTAGTAGCAGATACTCCTCGCTGCCTGGACTTTCCTGGGCGCAACCAAATCGCGACATTCCGGGGCCAATTTGAAGGAGACACCTTTGAAAAAATGACTTTGTTTGTAATAGCCGCAGTTAACACAATAAGTTCATTGCTAGCCTGTGCCTTCAATGGACTTAGGAAAAGTGGTTCTCGCAGAAGAATAAAAGAGCTTATTAAGGAATGGGATGCGGTTTTGGTGGACTCGGAATGTTTGGAGGATACGGCGGCATGGGTGGCTACGGCATGGGCGGATACGGCGGATACGGCGGATATGGCGGATATGGTATGGGCTATGGCCTGGGAGGCATAGGATATGGCGGCACTTCGGGTGGATCGGGTCAAGCTTATATTTTAATGAGGATTGTCTCAAAAAATTGATCGTGACAAATACTGAAAGTTAAGCAATAGAGAGAAACCCTTAGAAGCTTATTTCAATAAATTGAAGGGCACAAAACTCCTGGATTGTTCAGGGTTTTGAATTGTTCAAGTTATTTGCACTCTGAATATTTCATTGCTTAATATCCTTCCATGGGTTCTGAAATCGACCTAACATTGCGTACTGCACCACCTATTCATGGTTATTGTCAACACAACCAGGATATTATATAGTGATCCACTAAAAGGGACTGGCCTCGCGTTCGGTCTCTACCTTGTCTTATTATAGCCTTCTATGGCTGTTCATTCAAAATTCCACTTTTTAATTCGTTTTCTAAATTTCTTATAATTTATAGCTCGTTTTCATGATGCTTTCATGAACATACACAATCTCAGAGGTTGCCCTCTTTTTAAACTGTCTTTAGCGTTTTATCCGCTCGCTCCTTCACTGGGAAGTCACTTGGAATCGATGTATTCATATTTGGATCCCAAAGCTTAGAATGTAATGAAATGGATTGACACAGACAGCTGCGTTTGAATGCTCCGTGACTCGCGTGGCCATCCTTTCGCTTCTTCAAGGGGCATGGTCCGCATCGCCATCAAACAACTTGCACTTTTCGCCGACTTTACGAACTGATTTTGATAAACTGCGCCTACGGCTCTGCGCACGTGAGCCAGCTAGCTCCGCACTCCGTAAGCTGGAAGTCCACCTTAGTCGTACCATTTTACTATCGCTACATATATGTATGGCTTTGGGGTGCCAATTACTTGAATATTCTATTTTCTCATGCTATGATTTGCTCTCTTTGCAAAAGTCTTTCAGTTCTTCACTCAGATCCCATGCTCATCTGAACAGGATTCACTATTGAAGTGCACTAACTGGATTGCTTTTCTTTCTTTCCTAGTACTCCGTACCAAAGGCCAATATTGATGTGTCGCAGTCCATAACCTGCCAAATTGGCAATCGCAGGTGCTCATGTCTTTTAATCTAGTCTGGAATATAGCCGCTGGAAGAAATTCGAGAATATTGGCATCTTCCGCCGTTCCTTCGAGAGGGGTCGTAGGTGTTTCGTCAAGTCCCATAACGGAACGGCGCGTTTGTCCACCTGTTAATGTCATTCACTGACAAGGAAATCGTTTATAGATCGTAGTTTATATTATCAATGAAGAAGTGTGGAAATAACGATTTGAACCCTCTGTACGGAATCAGGGCCTAACAGCCGTAGGAAAGCTCACAACTGAAGCGATCGTATTCAGCTGATGATGGAGGGTCGCATTTGGTCTCAGAAGAAGTTCTTTGGAATTGTTAATTTTTTTCTCATTTCCATTGGCTTCTGGCTTGTCGACAACATATTGTGAGAAGTTACTACGTGGTGAGATATCAAGTAGGCTGTGGAGCGTGGGGTCGTTACGGATAGCAAGAACATTTGTAGAGTCGTATATACTGAAGATTATCTAGAACGCATGGTACGCCCTGCCTGGAATAAAACAACTCACCAGTTATCTGGAAGAGGACTTGCATCACTTATCTCTGGCAACAAACTATATATTGTCGAAAACTCTATTAGTATTGGATATACAGGTTAATAATCAGCTCTTTTCAGGCATGGGCGGTTGCCTTGGAGGATGTGGATTCGGCAAATAGCCAAGCATGGTAACACTTCCATCAATAAAGTTCTCAGTCCCCTGCATTTCTTCTACCTCATGGGTATTCAAATGTGAGCACCTGGCGCTCCGCAGAGACATCTACCTGTGGATTCACAGGATCATAAATTATTAAATTTAGTAATTTAATTCACTCTCTATTCTGTGACTGTATGTAACGACGGGTAACACATATTGATCACACGCCGGTTGGTATAACATGCGAACAACCATGCGCTTTATAAATAGAACCTTCGAGTTCGGCTCGAGGGGACGTTCTCTATGCCGTACAGAAGGTTGGAAACTTACGTTGTGCTACTCTTTTCATTTCCAAACCGTTCTTGTGACATTCGGTCCGCCTTTTCAATATGTCCTTAACCAAGCAGTAGTTCCCTTGTCTGAACCACGATCGCTTCATACCTTGCCACTAATGTCGTCCTATATGAAGAATAGAAGAGGGTTCGGCGTCGGAAATAACCCTGTCAGTCCGCTAGCTTCTAGAAGTTTATAGGCCCCTGCCTAAGAGTGGTCCGTTACGTCAGATCAGGGACTTGCGGTCTTTGTCAGTTGAACGAGCAGTCGTATGCTGGGTTTTTTGCGTTGCCGTCCGGTAGCTCCTTCCCAAATTTATTGAACGCACGAAGTCGCAACGATCAATGGAAAACATGACGCCGTGCCAAAACCCACTCAGCGCTGACACGCTTCGACTGACTGGCATGATTCCACCTGTAATCGTTTGACCCGCTCATGTATCTTATTGGGCCATCCATTTGTTGTCACCGGGAAAACTTGTAGTATCATCTGAAAGTGTTATTTGTGGGGCAATTGAATGAGTAGAAATGAGTAGAAGGTCGTGGATCACTTATGACTACATGATCTAAGCCCCGCCGGCGCCTGGGAGGAGGCTGCCGTTCAAGAATAAAGTAATGCGGCTGACACCCACGCTCTAACACTGCTTTCGGAAAGCACTTGACTTCCAGACATTTTTTATTTAATAAATGTATGCGATTGCAAAGTTAGTTGAAAAGACACAAATCATTGAGAGACACTGTCGCAATCAAAACATGTTATTATAGGAACAACTCGACTGAACGAGGAAAACTGAGAGCGAGTAAAAATCACAGGAATACGAAACATAGATGGTCTATCACAGGAGCTGATTCTGCAACTCTGAAGGCAGTGACAGGTACCGCTGGCGTGTCTACATACTTCATCTCAACGGTGACATGCATCTGCACCTCGTGGTGAATTTTCGTAATTTTGGGACAAATTCACATGTCGTTATTCAAAACAAAGCGTTGTTCCTAAATTGAAGTTAAACTGAAATGTCCCACAAATAACCTATCCCATGCCATGTTCAAATGGGTTACGCAGGTACGCCCCCCCCCGTCTCGTGGATGCGGAGATAATGCAAACAAAATAAGATCCTGGCCGCGAATAACTCGGGTGAGGAGGGGATGGATACGTGTAGCGCAGTTCTTTTCACGCGTACAAAGCCTGACCAAACGTTATCACGGTGCAATACTGGACAGGCTTGTGAAGCTTTGAAAGGAGAACCAGCGGATTTTCAATGCATCCAGACTTTTGCCTTGAAAAGGCAACCCATTAAATGAGGCCAAGGAATAATACATGCGATACATTGGCAAATGGATAAGGCAGTTGCATAAGTTGCGCTCAATTCAGGCTGTACACGTTGCCCATGAAAGCTGTTGTCACTGGATCTCGCACTGGACTTCAAGCACTAAAATCAATATCTTCTCATACGGTGGGCTGTAAATTGAAGACGTATTTCTCTTCAATGCTCGAGCGAGCAAAAGCATTTTACTGTTTCCCCTCTACCATGGTGAGACACTGCTTTTGTCGAAAGAAGAACTCTGAAGCTCTACCCCCTGCTTCACTATAGGGAATGCCGCATTACGGTGGCATTGCCGTTGCTGTCGGCTGATTCTCCCAGATGATCTCTATTCGAACAGGAACTGTAGTTGTTGTTGGCTGGAAGGCAGGTTTCGTTGGGTCAGGCGATGGCACTTCTAACGAGTGTGTATCTGACATTGTCGACGTCTTGTTCCGCGAAAAGAGATAGGCGGAGTTGCGTTGGACCTGAACCCTCTTTTTTGCAGAAGAAAATATTTACAACTTGTACCAACTGTTCAATGCGGTTGGATAGTGAGTCAGTGGAATGGCAAAAATACCTGAGGGGAAGAGCAGGCTTGATCACAGTGAGGTGCGCAAGTGTCAATACAGGAGCTCCTTGAACCTAGACTCTTGCAGGCCAGCTGACATACGGATTGACATTCAGAAGAACATCTGAGGGTCCTTTATCAGCTCATAAAGCAAAAAAACAGCAAGCGAGCTTACCTTTGTTGAGGATCTAACCTCACAGGATAAGTCGAGACATCTTTGACTGTCATCTGCGATGGCTTTGACGAAGCACATATCTGAACGGGTCAAATCAAAAGCCACTAGTGGCGGATCAAATGTGCAACTTTCTTACATAGTTGCACGTATTGATACAACTGGCGCCGCATCCTTCAGCAGGTGGTGGTGTTCGTTCACTGCAGCTCTGTTGGCAGCCCTCACTGCATTGTTGTAGGCAGTTAGTTGGAGGAGGCTCTGATGGTGGAACCGCGCTTTGATTCCATAACTCGTGTGGTGGGTTGTCAGGCGCTAGCTGTAAAGACTGAAAATTACAATATGGTCCTGGTACCTCGAGGCCCTCTTATCATGGGAGGGTGAACATTCTAGATAGGAAGCAGGAAGGGTAGAATATTCGACGGCGCTAATTCTTCGAGACATTGTTTAGAGTCTGCGACCCTGCGGAATCGGCACACGAAGGGCTTCCGCGAAAGCGTTTTGTTACGCATCCAGAGGAGGTTCGCCGCACCGAGTGCGCGAATCTGGTGCTCCCGCGAAAAGGGTTAGATACGTATCGACCCGGAGAACCGGCGTTCCGCCCGTGTGAGACGCTCAGCCAGTTTAACAGTTCTTCTCTCGGACGGCAACAGCGAAATCGATACGTATCTTCCTCTTTTCGCGTTGGCGCCGATTTCGCTGATGTTTTACCAGGGCACTACAATCGACAGATATTTCCTGCCTTGCGCCATTCTCCGGAACAATGAACAATCCAGTTCGTTAAGCTATCGAAATGTCATAGCGCAATGACTAGAGTAGGTGATGCCGTTTGAGTCGCTTCGCTGCAGTCATGTTCGTTGAAAGTGATGAGGCGTGTCAGCGTGGATGGATTTGGCGCGGCGCCAGACAGTTTTCCACGAGTTTTCGAAGCGGGTAAGCAACAACAGTTCGTGGGAATCTACTTATACGAACGACGTGATACAGTCTTGTAGCTTGATCGCTCGAAGAACGGGTGGAAAACGGTTTCACTGTCAAGCTTCCTTCAAATTCACGCCCTACTGATACGCCTTATCACCCGCGGCAAACCAGTCCGTAATGATATGCGATTTGGCTTATGATGCCAACAGAGACAGCTGATGTACAAGTCCTTTCGAGCTCACCTGTATATTAATTTTCAAAGGTAGTGGAGGAATGGTTGGAGGAGCAGTCTGCGACGTAGTAGGGCTTTGTGCAGACGCTGATTCTACTGGACAATGTTCTGCACAAGTTGCATCACAGGTGTGGCTACATTGCGATGAGGAGATCGTTGGGCTGCACGACGACTGACAAATTTGGTTACAAGCCGCCAAACATTCGGCGGTCGAGTCGCTTTCTATCTTGACCTGCATCTGAACAATGGATAAACTTAGGCTACGTCTATCTGATATCATTGGGTCTCTATTCTTGGAACCTCCAATGGCTTCGGTGGGGCTGAAAAGTCGTCACACGCTTTTTTACATGAGACGTGACAGGATGAGTAGCATTGATCCGATCTGTACCGTTGTGACAAGCAGGCCGAATTGCACTGAAAGTTGATAAAAATAACTTCAAATATGCTGAAATTAACCCAAGATCAACCTTGCCATTGCAATCACCGTACAGCCAGAACCATCTCGGGAACTGGTTACAACGGGTTGTGGTTTATAAACTGGGCTAGATGCTGCCATCAATGAGCCGTATGCTTGAGCGTTACTGTAACACAAATATGAAGGGTCTACGTAGTAGGTAGACTGCTGCTAGCTACTCAGAGGTCTTAAGAGACAAAAGTAGTGAAGGATAGTACCGGCAAGCTATGGCACATGTTGCTGAGCAGGCGCTCTGGCATAAAAACGGCATCGAAAACGACTTGCACGAGTTTGAGCACTGCCACTGGCACGGCGAAATACATGCCGAACATGCGCATGGCCTGAAATCAACTACTTCTGTACCGAAGAGCAGATTGGTCGTTAGAAATGTCATAAAGTAGCGACCACACGTAAGACTGCAAAAAGCGTATTTGAAAGAACTATTCTGTCAGCGAAATTGTGACGGATCCTTTTGAGGACTCAATAAGATGGTTGGATGAACGAAATAGCTTCCTTATCCATAAGGTCGATTTCCATTTATGAATGGGATCAATGTATTATTACCTTTGAATCCGAAATTTCTGAAGACAACTGGAAAGTGAACCTCTACAGATATGGTTTAGGAAACGAAAACGATGGGCGTTTCTTAGTTTGCACAGCAGCCTTTAGTGAGACGCTGACACTTCCCACTGACACTTTCCTTGCATGCCCTCTCGTGACTATTGAATATTGTGGACTGCGCTGATCGGTACTCCTTAGTCCTGTGATTACGCCTCCTCCAAAAAGGCCACACAACCCTTCTTGGGATCCATGTATGATGTACAGTGGCTGATAATTTCACATCGATCGATAGTTTGTGCGCCAGACATCGGTCTTAGGGAACGGTTCCCTTGGGATCGCCTTTTGTAGCTAACAAGTTGTAGTAAACCCATTGCTAAGACTGAAGGACACTTCGAGAATCGCGTAGCCTCTAATTTGACGAACCTGACAGGAGAGAAATGGGTGCTCGTTGTTGATGAGCATGGGCAACGAATCGGCTGTTGCGCGAGTGAGCAGCCGCAACGAGGTTGCCCTTGAACAGTTTCGAAGTGAAGAAGCTGAAATAATTGTTATAGATTGTCAATGATTCTGAAACCCCAAAATAGTAAAGCTATCCTTAACCAGAACTTGCTCAATAGTCTAATAGGTACCAAGTTCCCTGCCCGGGAAGGTGCCATCAGCGAAATTGACAAGCTACTGAACTTACCGTGTGAAAAAGTAGTAGAAAGAGATCAATGAGGCGCATTGCTGACCAGAGGTGCGAAAAAGCTTTGAAGTGGCTCAATAAAGAGGACCGACGAGGAAGGCGATGCTCTGTTGATCAAATATTTACTGAAAAACGGTGAAGACTATTAATGATGACCGGTCCTTATATTAGACCAATGGATTCAGCGGCATTAAGCCATTAGTCAAATTCAGTTATCATTTCTGGGCATTCGTCACCTTATAATAAGGTGGCGAATAAGAGGAACAAAAGGAAGCGAAGTTCAAAGAGAGGGCTGTAAAAAGTTAGGTATAATATAACTAAATGGATAGTTGGCTGAAATTTGGAGTCAAGAATCATTAGCCAGACGTGTAGGTTAAGATCTGAGGAAGTTATGGAGGGACTGGAAGACTAGCCTAGGCGCTCTTCACCGGCCAAGGGATTGATGACTCAGAGAGAGCCGTCCAGAGGATCCTGAAGTGTTCTAGAGCTATGCTCCCTATAGATTTTGGAATATGTCGTGATTTTCCGAAGTATGTCATTCATGCTATCTCTTTCGGCTTTCAGGCTGTCAATGAGTTAGGATAACGCTGATCGTAACCTCTTTTTCCATGAAAGTGAGTGACTTAGACATCACTTTGTCAAATATCAGATCGATTCAGTATTGAACGCAGGGAGCGACAGATACCGTTATGAATGGGAAGATATAATCATCGAGGAAAATAAAATTTACAATAAATGAAAAATAAATTGGAAAGATTCCATGTAGGTCACTACTTCGCACCAAGTCATCACCACTGCTTTCGATTTGAAAAACGGTAATCATCAAACAAATTTTCTATTCACCAGAAATCAAAGGACGAAAATCAGGAGAATTGTTCGTCAGTAACTCCTCCTAAAATGCTCCCTTCATATCAGAACATAATATTATAGCAGCCTCAGCACCTCCTTTCCACCGAAGAAGAACTTTGGCGAATGTCTGACCTCGGCCAGTCAATGAAAGTATACTGATATGTACGCGTCTCATGATTTGACCTTCTCATCAATAGCATTACCGGGAGCAAGAGTGTGGGAGTGATGCTTCGGAATACAAGGAGACCAGGGAAGCGCTCTATCGAGCTCCGGTGCTTCACCTGGAAGATGGGTCCACCTGCACTTCACTACCACATGAGCCAGTTTTTGAGTGCCCTTTTCGAACGGACGTCAGAGCCGAGTTAGGAACAGCGTTAGGCGAAAAAGAAGGTTTCGAAAGCAGATGTCAGTTCATACTATTTGCCACTGACAATCCCTCATTGCCATTAGTAGCTTTATGCGCCCACTTTGGTGTTGAGTTCCGATCAGATTCACCTATTTCAGTGCAAGGAAGGCACTCAATGGCTCGCTAGTGCCAGCGACCTTAAGGAATCCGTTGCCCATGGTTACCCCACCGTATCGAAAACAGGTCGAAATCTCAGATTTGGTTGAAAACTTGCCTCTAGAGCTAATTTGAGCCCCAGAACACGAATATCACACTTGCTCGGCGTCGGTAAATCAGGCTCGCCAAGGAGTGCAGGTCTGCACAACGCTGCACCTCCAAATGATGAACAAGTATTTTCATGAAATACCCTGCAGTGATGATTTCCAGAGCACCAGACCACCTCTAATTCCAGATTTTAGCAAATTTGGGGGTTTTGGTGTGCCTCAAATACATGCTGGAAATGGGTGTGACCTGGTCAAAATTCCTGCATAACTTTGTCCAGGGAATCGTTCAGCAGAAATGGAGGGCAGATTTGTAATCAGCGTTCAAGGGCCCACCGGGCAGTATACATCTCATTTCGAATGGCCACTTCGACCAACCATCCTTTCCTTGTGAGGACGAGGAGGTACGTCCAAGAGTTTTGACTTTTTTCAGTTAGGAAATTATTGGATTAATCTCGCTTCCTCATTCAAATGGACAGTACATATGGTAAGGCCAAAGCGCTGAGCACTCTTATACACGTGTATTTCGTTGACGACGAGCCATGATTTCCATGATTGCGGCGTGGGACGGCACATTTGCCGGCACTTGAATTCTCGTCAGTTCAAATAAATGAATGAACTACGATCTATAAAATGTACCAAGAAATCGCAAGGGACGTGAGATATACAATCTTCGCAAGTCTCCGACAAAATTCAGCTCCCATTGCGCTTCAATTTCCAAAATCAGCTTTCTTTAGCCACACATTCTTCCTCTGGAGACAAGACCCAACCCGTGTGTCCGCCACTGAAAATCTCGTCGTCAACGCGTTAAGTGGACATGATATTTTTGTTGAGGGGGTCGGTTCACCGGTAGGGACAAGTTTTCAGGGAATTTGATGATCTAGGACATTTTGGCAGTTTTGTGGCAAGCGATTGTGATATTCGTGTAAATGGGGTCAAGCTACCCACGAGACAAGTTTTCAGCGATTTTGGTGGACCTAACGTATTTTGGCGCCAGCGCCTGTGGGCGGGCGCCAGGCATTTTCGCGGGAAACGAATGTGATATTCGTGTTCAGGGGCTCAAGCTACCCCACGAGACAAGTTTTCAACGATTTTGGTGACCTAAGGTATTTTGGCGCCGGCGCCTGTGGCGCGGGCGCCGGGCAGTCCGGGCCAAACCACTGTGCTGTTCGTTTCAGAATTTCAGCCTACTCCTATAGACATCTTTTGAACAAACTTGGTTGCTCGCACGTCTTTATTATTAGAGCAGTATGTCGGTTTCGCTCAGCACTAAAAGGTGTGGTTTCGTAGAAAGCGTTCTTAATTTGTTCATGAAAGGTTTGACCGTGGAGGTGCCAAGGAGAAATCGGCAATCAAAAAATCTTGATCACCAGATAAATGGCAAGCAATAGGTGGAGATAAAGGGTTCGGGATGTACTGGAGCAGCTGCTGATGTTTTCCTTAATCTGCAGATTGTCTCGCTAAGCTTGGGTCGGCCGTTAAGCTGCCAAAGGAATAGCTGCCTAAAGAATAACCCATTAATATGAAGAGGTCTGGTGAACAGACCAGACTGGGAGGGAAAAATACAATGCGACAACACCGAAGAAAACTAAGCAAATTTCTGACAATAAATTTCCATACACCCAGCTCCTCTGTCATCTTATCTCTCTTACTTATTTGCTTGCTGTTCTTTTAGGTTGGTCTCTGTCTCCTCATTCCAAGGATATACGCCCATAAGCCGCAAAATAAACAAAGTTGTCTACCGATCTAACAACGAGTCAACATTGCAAAACAGAACGTCTAATATCAGGGTGGATGGAAAAAAGCAGTCCTGAAGAAGCCTACATTGAATTTATTTTTGGTGGTCTATGTAGTGAAGAGACCGTCTATGGGACCTCACGTTTTCACAACTATTTCAAATAACGATAACATGAAAACCTCAGTTCATTTAGTACAATATCAGCTAAAACCTGCTGAGCAAAAGAAGGCATCAGTGTCTGCGGGACTCGGTGTAACCCTTTAACCTGCGCCATCTTCGAAGCTGCGCCACCTTTGCACTCCATATCCCGGGGATGGACAGGGTGTGGCTGCTTACTTCATTCGAACACGGCATAAGTCGGATATTCCCATATGAGGTAACTGTCATCCCATTGCTGAACAAAGACATGACTACAATTGATCAAAAGCGGAAGCATTTCAACAAAAGTGCAATCGATTCGTTGTTCGAATAAGTAAGCAGCCACGCCTGGTAAATCTTCGGAACATGGAGTGCACCTATACACTAACGCACCTCCCTTTCGTAGCATCAAGGCATCCGAAGCTCTTTACATCTCTGCATATTTCCTAGTCAATTTTCAACAAATGGCAATATCAAGGCATAGCAGTATGAAACCTCCCTACGTCCTCAATCTTACGCTGTGATCGCACCCCGTGCCTCCGAGGTTGCCCAGTAATCCTTATTAATTTGAGCTCGAAGACGCCAAATAATAAAACATAGACGGACTGCTGAACATGAGTTTCTTGCAGATTGCTGAAGCCATAATATCAGTAAAACAAGTGCCGGTGTCGGGGACCTATTCAAAATTGCTGTATTTTGAGATGCTACAAAAATTCAGCGATTGCCTGGGTCGAGATGCGCTACGCGCGCCACACAAAATCAATATGGTCAAAATGATCTCTCTAATTTCCGCTGTTTCCGGAACTAACTTGGATAAAATCTTTTGTAAATGTCAGCGAACTCGTCTAGCTTGACGCAAGATTGCTAATAATTTTCATCCGGCTCACATTTCGTCGTTAAAAGAAGGTGAAGACGCCAAAACGTCACCGAATACAAGTTTCCAACATTCTTGGTGTCAAACTGGACAAGCTCTATGACTTTACTAAAGAACATGGCAAGATTCATAGAGAATTGCATTGAACAAAATCTTTTCTTCTCTCGTATAATCACGAAGCACAAGCACTAGCGCGAGATTCAAGACCACTAAGAAGGGAGATTGAACGGAGTTGTGTCGTGAGCCAGTGAAAGAAAATCTGCAGCGCTCCTGTAAACAGTAAGGGTTTTTAGACCACTACTCGCGTGGATTAGTGGCAGCTGTAAACAGACCCACGCAATGAGTCATTTCGTCTCCAATTAGATTCCATGCAAACATTAGCTTACTCCTCTGACTGTTCCCTTAGGTCTCCGCTCTTTTCTAGGGGTCTTTCTGAACGGAACTTTGATCTGAAGATTGGCGTGAGCGCAGCCAGCACAGCCTTTTTTGTTACTTGTTGCAAACTCAAGATGGTGCTATTCCCAGAAATGGCCCCTAGCTGCACCCAGTTCACTTCCCGCCGCGCGCTTCATCGTTTGAAGGAATCGTTACTGTACTTCGAGCACTGCTTCGTGTGACAGGACCAAGAGCTTTCACCGGGGCGGATATGCTAGTCCGACATTCATTCAATAATTTATTACTTCTTTGAAGTCCGCAAATATCTCAAAATAAATAGCAATTTACACGCATCAAGAGCTAGCCATAAGCAGTGTGATATGTCATGGAAAACAGCTTGATAAAGGCACATGAACCCAATCACTATCACAAAGAAGCAGTATCACAATTTTAATCGGTCTAGTGGTCGCGATTTCTCGCTGCGACAACTTCACTGAGAGTGACGATCCGTTTACGCACTGAGCTTACAGCTCCTATATGAACCACGAGGTTGGTGTCCGTTTGCCGCCCGACGAACCCTGATTCGTCCAGGATATGGTCCTTTGCATGGCCGTCGAATGCTCGTCTACTGGACACTTCTGATAATTTGGAAACGATTTCCCTGATTTTCTGCGTTCGAAACACAACCGCTGGCGTACAGCAGGACTCAGTTGAGCTCATGTAGACCGACTTCGTGATAGCATAGCGCACATCGGCCAGGAGCTAAAAGTTTGCTAAAATGGTTTGAGAAATAGAGCTCAAACGTCGAATAATGCTGTCCCTACCTGGTAGTGATATGAGCGAAGAATTGCACACATGAGAGCGGAGGTGACCAGTAACCATAATAAATATACCCGTTGGAAGAAAATAATTTGGCAGGTGTAACAAAAAATCAGCGGTAAAGCTATGGCCTAAATACGTTCTTTTACATGTACTTCAATAACAATAACATTTGAAAGTCACTCATACCATCGGAATGGAAGGCATTTTGCGCAGTGGATTTGGATGGTACAGTTTCACGTAGTCGATGTAAGGTCGACTATCCAGTTGCCTCATAAGTGACGTCATCATCCTGGCGAATTCGGGAACCACAAGGGCGTCATCTTCCAGCAGCATTACATATCTGTCGAAGCAAGTTTATCTTGAAGGATTATGACATACTGAATCACACGAATAAAACTGAAAAATAAATTTATTACTTGATTCACATAGGTCTAGGAATTTCACTAGTAATTTTTCATTCCAATAAAATGATACAGAGCTGTGGTTTTTCGCATGTAAATTCTCCGTACTTGTCAACAAACAATTGTTCCTTTGTCGAAGCCCTTGGATATCACCTCCGAATCAGCAACACCCCAGGAGGTAGTACTGTTGCGTTGAAGCAGTTCTTCTAGTTGGAAAAGGTGCTATTGGGAGTGTCTGCCGATTTTGGTGAAAAAGCGCATGGAGGATGGCACGAATTGGCGCCCAGTGGCGCCATCGCTAAAAACGAATGCTATATTCGTGACCAGAAACCCAAATAGTCCCTCTCTGCAAGTTGACTATGGTGAGAAAAGTGGAGTGGCCAAATTGGGCAAAAATTGGCGCTAGAGGCCGAAAACTAAAGCTGATCAGAGCATCGAATTATCCCCATGAGCAAATTTCAGCGCAGAAAAATTGAGTTTTCGGGGTAGCAATAGTTGAATAGTATCTTGGCTTTTATTCAGTTTCCGTAGGGCTGACATAGTGCCCACATTTTTTCAATGTTCGTTCCCGGGAAAAATTTGGGTATCCAAACGATTTGCCGTCCTATAGAGGAGTTCGAGCCTTATGATACAAAAAAATCGTCTTAGATAAGGACTGTGGCCATTCGCCAAGGATGAAAGTTCTCTTTCTATTCCACGGCCGACCCCAGACCATAGCTGCGTTGAAATTGTAGCAAAATTCAACGCCATCTGCCAAGTGCCACGGAGTTGTCTCAGAATATGGATTCATACAACACTTTTTTGTTATGGTGGCTCGCTCTGGTAATGTATCCATAGGCGTTCCCAACTTTCAAGGGTTGTTGCTTGGTATAACAACAATCCAGGAAAAGGCGCGGTGGGGGGCGGGGGTAACCATCAATCCATGGGAGGGGGTTGAAAACAGTGCCCTCATAGCAGAAAAAATGTAGTTTCTCGTGGTCGAATTCGAATTTAGACTCCACATAGACTTTTAACGCCCGGCACATCCAAGACGTTTACTAGTTTCTTTAAGCTTTCATCTCAAAAGTATGAGACACTCATCAGTTATTTAGTTAATTACCTTGCTTTCGTCGTTCGATTTAGACACTTCCAATAGTCTGACGCCTCTTTTGCTATAGTGGCATTCAAGGGTAACTGTCGCGATCCACCTCCTGAAGCTTGAGTATGTGTGCTTGTTGCCTTATTCCAACGTCATGAATATATGGAAAAATAGACGAAAGTTCCGTTCCTTCTTCAGATTTATAACAATCACGTTGCAACTTACCACTAAGTATTCGAACCGGTATATGAAGCTGGAAACGTCTTAGTTCCTCGAATGAAGTCGGTTCTACGTTACATAGCTCGAGACTTGGCGTTAGTCGTCTGTGAGACTGGTAGGAGTCGATCAGGAAGGCGACAACCTGTCATAAAGGATTGCCACGCAGATAAAACATATTACATTAGCGTGCTGAATGATGGCGGTGTAAATAGAGAACATCTAGCCGATAGAAATTTTTGTCAATTTTTATTTTGCTCATAGCATTTACGGGTCAACTAGCTACATATAACTTAGCATCGAATGCCGGTTAGGTATATGTTAATGTCACTGTACGCGCACCGCTCTCAACGCCATAACCGTACTTGCAGAAAACTACAGAGTTTTTTCCCAGTGCAGTTGGGGGCAGTGTCTACCTCGCTCAGAATGTTCGCGAAAAAGCACCATGTGGCCATCTCATAGATAGCAAAAATTGGGTAAACGGGGTGCGATCGATGGAGTTGTAGGCGTTTGGCGCCCTGGACAGCAATCGTGGGAGCTGAAAGTGGGGTGTGTGGCTGTAGGTGTAGCCTGTGTACCATCCACCTCACCCCCCCACCCCCCCGAGAGAGGGTGTCACTTCCCTCCCCCCCCTGTCTCAACACCCACCTACTATCCACATGTTTCCAAGTTTTTTCACCCAAAAGTTTTCGTCAGAGCGGGAGTGAGGGGAAGGGAGCGGGCGCGGAGGCTATGTAGTTAAACATGAACAGGAAAAATCACGCGAAAAGTAACGACGGGGAAACATTTTTCCCAACGCGGCAAATTCCTCCAAAGCCACATAGTGCCGATCGCATGATGCTGATGTTGGTATCGAACGGCGGGAGGAACACCAAGAACACCAATTTCAGGAACACCAAATTGCACGCCACCTTCTCTATTATCTTGCCACTGGAAAAAAATTTTGCAAAATTTTTTCCAAAATAATTTTCATCTGAAAAATACAGCCATTTTCTCCCCCTCCAGTCCCGCTCTTTCAGTATGGCCCCTCTTTCCTATCTTACCTAGCATTTTTTTATATTTCCCAATTTCCTGTCACTGTTTTTTTTCAACTTCTTCAGAGATGGACCAGCGCTCCCCACCCCCCCTATCGAAAAACTGTCATGAAGCTGGAGGTGTGGGGGTGGTGCATAGCGCACATGAAAGGGAAAAACTGAGTAAATTCAAAAACAGGGAAAATTTTCATTGATTGCAACTGCGACTCCCCTCCCTTCAGCAGTCAAATACGACCCTCATCGCCGCGGATCCCCAGTGCACGAAGGGCCCTGCTGAGGGACTCACATTAAAGGTAGTTAATGGAAAATTAATGCCCTTATCACCTATGCTGCGACGCTTGGGATCTTATTGAGAAAACGGCGACTTCTTCATAGTAATGGGTCGCAGAGTGTTTTGAAAAATGGATTCTCACTACCTAGCCCTAGCACTCTCGAAGCCGATGTAGCTGTTCAGGCTTTGCGATAGGAAAGGTTCGGGTGAGCGACCACTCCGATCTCACAATCCAAAACAGACCAATCGCACGATTGTAGCAGTTGTACTCTAGTGAAAATAACAACGGAACATTTTCTAAAGTTTCTACACACTATTTCCATTGAAACGCATTTGATTAGATCTCATAATTAAAATGATCGCGAGGACGATTCGCTACCATCGCGATCACTGAACGCAGCCTAGCCTAGCAGTCTATGGGATACCATTGACGCCTCACAGTACCTGCAGAAGGTAGCCTTGTCGCCGGTCCGAAGCAATGATGCGGATCTCCAATGGACTGAACTAAATGCACGATTTAAGTAGTGAATTCTGAATCTATATGAGATACTGCTTAAAAAGTAGTCCTTTCACCCACATGATCGAATCCTTTCAAAGCGTCACGGTAGATCTGCTCGGAGATATTCAATCGATACCTATTCAGTGCCTTATCGTCATTGACCATATGTTTCGGAAAGTACTTTTCCTCTCCGGAGGAAAGGCTCATAACACTTCTAGAGATGAAATGAAGTGAGAAACACCATATGGTCACACAGACAAGTGACACGACCACTTTCTCCGTGAATTCATCTCTTCGCATTCATAAACTGCAAACATAACTTTGTTGCTTACTGAAAG